ATATCTCAATGTGGTTTTAATTTGCATTTCACGAATGGCTAGTGATGTGGAGCATTTTTTCATATATTTATTCGCTTCTTTAATTTCTTCCTCTGAGAAGTGTGTGTTCATCTGGGATGCCCATTTCTGAATTGGGTCTTTAAATTTGGGGGCCCTGGTGTTTTTTAGTTCTTTGTAGATTCTAGAGAGCAGACCCTTGTCTGAGTACTTATTTTGAACATATCTTTTTAAGTTAACACTTGGTAGCTGCAGGCATTCTACAGTAGATCCTTAGGACCTACTCGCCTTACTTAGCCAATATAACCAAAAGCTTTGGACCTACTACCACTCTCTCCTTCCCCCACCTTCCATTTCTGCTATGTGCTTCCTGGTAGAAGTGAGATTATGCAGTGTTTCTTTCCTGTGCCTGCACTGTTTCGCTCTGCATCGTATCATCAAAGCCAACCCACATTGCTTAAAAGTCGCAGGCACAGATTCTCTATCGCCACCTTCGCTCCCATCCGCACACAGCAGGAGCTCAGAACGCGTCTGTGTCCTGGCTGTCCTGAGTCACATGACGGCAGACACAGGTGGGCACATTTCTCTCTGAGCTCCAGATTTTAACTCCTTTGGGTGCATTCCCAAAAGTAGGGTGGACGAGCGGGTAGGACGCTAGTCCTGTTTGTAATCTTTTGAAGAACTTGGCTCTGCTTTTTCACAGTGACCGTACCAATATACATTTCCACCAAGCATGCGGGGGCTCCCTTTCCTCCACATCCTAACCAACACTTGTCGTCTTCAGGGCTTGTGACAGTAGCCATCTTACCACATGCGCAGTGCTGTCTCCTTGTGGTTTTGATTTGTCTTTCTCTGACGATTTGTGACAGAGAACAATTTTCATATACCTGGTGGCATCTTGCATGCCTGCTCAGATTAGTTCCTGAGAAGACACTCACTTGTGCCTTGGGCTCTTCCTTTGCCCACTGGGGTAAAGAAATACCCCTTCTAGTGTTCTCAAGCATACTGAGAAAAATGCCACTTCCACCTCTGGCTTGATTGCCTGCAAAGCAGGCAGCTCTGCTGTTAACCAGCTACTTTGGGGGGCTGGTTTAGGAGATGACCCTGCACTCGCCTTCACACCACTCTTAGCAACAGCCTTCCGCGAGGAAATGATGACAACGCAAGGCCATCTCTGGGAACACTCGGGGCTGCCCAGGAATAGGGCAGGCAGGCAGGCAGAGGCCTCCGTGAGGAGAGGCTGGGCTCTGCCCCCCACAGCACCACTCTTGTAGAGCTGTACATCAGCTAGGACGGGAAGCTGCTGAGAGCGACCTGTCGTCATGTCTCCTGCCGGGAGGACATCAGGGCAGATGTTGGGCCCTACAGATCAGTGTGTGCTACAGGAGCCTCCACCTGTAGAACATTCATAATAAATATGCCGAAAGCAAGCAATAGATTTGTTTCTCTGGGCCTAAGTTCTTCTGCATTGTGCAGCTCCTGGTTTTTGTCTTCTTGCCTTGGCCACCAAGACACTCACTGACAAGTCTGAGGCCCACCCCCTGCACGTGCTGAGGCGTACCATTATTTCTTTCCTCCGCTAAGCTCATTTCTGATATCATTTTAATTATTTCCATCTATCCTCAGTGTCTCTTGAACTTTAAGTAAATAAACTCTGAAAGATACAGTAGACACTGGGAAAAGGAAAGAATCTGTTCAATGGGAAGGAGAAACTGAGATGAGCAAGAAGGCAATAGAAAAAAGGGGAAACGCTATATTTGTGTATATCCAGGATAGCTGGGATGATTGTACTGCTAATTTCTGTTGCTCCATTGAAAGGAGCAAGAAACACTTTTTCTTTTTTCCCCAATTTTATGAGTTTATATTTGATAAACTAAACAACTAATTTTAAGATAATATTATGTAATACAACAACCATTATCAAATTCTAAAAACCTCATGATTTAGTTTCTCTCTACCTAGAAAGCCAAATATGTTCAATCTGTATTTTTTAAAGATAGGATAAGTAGCTAGGTAAACACCCAGGGCAGCCCACCACCGAGTTCACTGCACTGCTCTCATCACGGGTTGACCCCTCTCTCTGTTCTCTCAGGTACGACGTGGCCTTCATGGTACACAGGCTGTCTCTCCCCGGATGCCGCTACACCTGTCAGAGAGACTACCTCCAGCCACAGTGCTGCCCTGGCCACTGGGGCCCAGACTGCATGGGTAAGTAGCACAACCTGGGACTCTGACACTGCAGCGTGAGGCCCCATTTCATGTAAAATCAGCATGCACAGAGCCCAGTAGAAGCCCTGATTAAAGTAATATGACCAAACTGTACACAGCTTGTAAAGTTTGGAAACCTATAGAACATCTTTTTCTAGAAATTTCCATCTCAGTCTATATGTATAAAATATTTCATGCTTCCTTAGTTTTTATAAAGAAGTCATCCCAGGAATGGAGGCACATGCCTGTAATCCCAGTACTCTGAGAGGCAGAGGCAGGAGACTCTTACATTTAAGCCCTGACTTGGTAACCCAGTAGCACACTGTTTCAAAGTTGAAAAAAAAAAAAAAACCCTGGGAACGAAGCTCAGTATAAAGGCCCTGAGTTCAATCCCCAGTATCAAAACAAAAATTCCCCAAAACAAATCACTTTACTGTAGTTAGAGACCTTCCTAAGAGAATTATTTTCTAATTCAGAAAAAGGGATAATTAAAGGAATAATCAGTTGTTCTAAGGATAATTTAGCGAAGAAGATGCTAGGCAGTTAAAGATATTTTTAAATTGTACACAGGGTCTCACTACGCAGTTCAGACTCATAGTGATCCTCTTATCTCAGCCTCTTCCGGGGTGGAACTACAGATATTTGTCACCACACCAGACTTCAGTGGCCAGCAGGGCATGTGGTACCAGGGGTCCTTGCATTTTCCAGGCAGTCGCTTAGACCACTGAGCTATCTCCCAGTCCCAAAACATTATCTCTTTCTTTGTGTATGTGGCTGACTCAGCCTACCCTGTGGGCAGGGCTTAAACAGCATGTGGTGCCAGGGATCAAACTGCAGTCCAAGTGAGATTGAATAAGCTTGCCTAAGCAGACACTTTAGATCACTGAGCTATCTCACCAGCCCAAAATATTATTTCTTTAACAAAAAATTTCATGGCCAGCAAGATAGCTCAATGGACTAAGCACCTGCTTAGGCAAGTGCAGGGACTAAGGTTCAATCCCCAGCACCACATGCCACATAGGCCCCACCCCCAGGCACACTTAGTTGGCCACTGAGACCAGGTGTAGTGGCTCATGCTTGCAATCCCAGCTCTGAGGAGGGTAAAAACAGTAAGATCACCAAGTTCAAGCTGCATAGTGAGACCCTGCACCAAATACACAAAGAAAAGGGAAAAGAAAAGAAAATTTTTCACTATAACTCAAAGACTACAGTATATAACCATTAAATATTACAAAAATTTAAGTCTTAAGATAGCATGTCAAATTCTATGACATTCAATGTACAATGTTTTAATGAAAAAAATTCAAGATCACTGTACAAAGTAACACACATTACAAGTAGGTATAGAAATTAATTCTGAAGAGTTTCTACAACTAGTTCCTAGCAAAAACTAGGAAAACTTAACCTGTGCTAGACTCAGATTTCTGCAGTCAGACCTAGTATATGTTAGGTGAAATTGAACTTTCCTCCTTGCTATGGGTCATTTGTGCTCAGCTTTGTTGGGATATGCAAATTATTTTAAATCTTCCCCTGTTTTGGTAGTCAAAACCAGAAATTGAAATTGATGCATTCATTGCTTGTTCCCTATCTTCTAAGATCTAACAAAAATACTCTTTAAGATCATTGTAAGAGGGGAGATGAGATTGTCTTACATTCTGCAGTATTTTTCCCCTGGTTAAAGTAATATGACCAAATTGTATACAGCTTATGAAGTTTGGAAATATAAAAAACAGAAAACTATCAACTTACATTTTCTTCCAGGTGGGGGACCTTGAACATTTTGACTTATTTCACGCTTGACATTTTTCTATATAACTCCTACATCACTGAGCCCACACTCCATGGACAAAGCCATCTTCTTTCTTTCTCACTAATGGTGAGATGGTTACACAGTGATGACTTCCACTTGTTCACCAGGACTGACATTAGGTGTCAGAGAGGTCCTGCGCTCTGCCTTATGCAAAGGAATTCCTGGAGCAAATCTTTAAGCTAGATAGATTTATTTGCATTTTGCTTATGAAGAATCAGACATCTGAGCATTACTTCGTGCAAGTTTCCTTTGGGGATGTGAAGAGATGAGGTGAGGTCGGGCTCAAGTTCAAGGCTTCCTGCCACCAAAGGCTTGGTCTTGTCTTCTTTGCCTCATTGCCTGAAAAAGAACTTGTCAAGAAGAGAAAGGGAGAGAGAGGGAGAAAGGGAGGGCGGAGAGAAGGCGAGAGGGAGCGAGAGTGCTCCTCCACATTGCCTTCTCTCCTCCTCCACTGGGAGGCCCTTCCAGTTTTCCAGTCACTGCCTAGAGCCTGTTCCTTGTCCTGGGAAGGTCAAGGGTTGGGGTCTTGACGTCCTGGTCCTTCTCTCTGCTACCCACCAGGGTGGGGTTCCACCCATCATGCTGGTGCTAGGTATTGCTAAGAGCTTAGTACATCAGGGTCAAGTGCAAAGATTCAGTGTCTTTAGAGTGATTAGCCTTGTTGGGGACTTTAAAGCAATTAGCCTGGACCTCCAGATTTCAGGGGCTTTTTCTCTCAGTTCTATGTATGGCCATGAGCTTTGAGTTCTTACAGACATCCCAGTAGAAGAGAAAAAATGTTTAGATTCACGTCCCTATTTCTAACCCATGGAAACTAATCCACTGCTAAGTTAGGAATCAGGAGCACTGTAGACAAGAGCAGACTTTGTCTAGGGTCAGCAACAAAAGTCAGCATGTCCAACAGGATGAGGGACGGACCACAGCCAGCTGGACAAAGGACACAGCACCTGTGGCCAGGATTCAGGTCTGGTACCTTCAAACAAACACGTCCTACTTCTGCCTCCATCTCCTCACCAAGTGAGGGAGAGATGCCCTACTTTACAGGGCTGTAGGTGGGATTCTCCCAGCACTAATCCAAGTGAAGAAAGGGGCTTTAAGAAGAGTCTAAATGGGCTTCACGCTGTGCTGTTGTGCTCTGCACAAGCGAGTACACTCTTCCACATCCAGGACCAGGAGTGTCCAACAGAGTCTTTGAATGATGAGACATTTCCTTCAGAGAGGTCCCAAGGTCAGAGCAGCAAAACCCATGAAGACCGAGGCTAGGACTTCATTCCTGTTGTCCTCCCTTTGGGGCCAAGGGTATTGCCCTTTGTCTTCATATTCCAAACACATGAATTGTCGTGTAAGGCTTCCTTCCTTCCACTCAGGAAAAAAGATAAATCCTCAGCTTGGCTGCATCCCCTCACACTCGAGTGATGACAAGCACCATCATACCTGTAACTTTACACTTCCACCAAACAAGGCCTTGAGGGAGCTGCTGACTGCACCCCCTACCCTGGAGAGGAGGCGTGTGCCCAGCCTCCGCAGGTGCTGGCTCGCTTTACCACGCAGCCACACACATTGTTACCAACTCAGGGTACTTTGGAAACCATATTTGTGGAGCCTTCCTCGAATAAGGAAGGAAATTCGTGAACAGTGCTGAGACCGGCTCAGAAAGCCACAGTGGAAAAGTCATCCCTGTCTTCTAAAGTACAGAATCAGGCATGAATTCTCACACAGCGCGGGAGGTAGTAAAGTGACCTAAGACGGGTCTTCTTAATTGAAGTTAGCCTGCTGCTCCCAACTAAAATTGGTGCTGCTTTAGCAAATGGTGTTTTCTTATTAGGGCAGAAATAGTTCTAACTTTGAAACTTAGTCATATTTCAATAGCAAATATGATACTGAAAGAGAAAGATTTTTTTTTCAGTAGTGGAGATTGAACACAGGACCTTCACGCTAATGTCAATTCCATTCTCAGTTCGTGTTTATTTAAGTTTTTTGTTGTTGGTGGTTTTTGGTGGTTGTGATGGTGGTGGCAGTGGTAGTAGTGGTTGTGTGGTGGTGGTGGTGGTGTGGTTGTTTGGGGACACAAGGTCTCACTAATTCCCTAAATTGCCCAGGCTGGACTCAAACTTGTAACCCTCCTGCCTCGGCCTCTCAGGGAGCTGGGTTTAGAAGCATGCACCACTCTAGCCAACTTGAAATGGAGTTTTTCTTCGTACATCTTGTTCTTTTCATTGCCCTCTGAAGTTGTAGGCCTTGCACAACAACTCTAAGCAGTAGAACCCCGGTGTATGCTGAGAGGTCACACCCAAACTCCACTGCGGCCAAAACAATATTATTTCAGAGATAAATGGTCTTGATTTTTTTGTTGCCAAACCCTCCGAAGTCCTCAGCGCTGGTTTTTCACACTGCACAGTGGCAAGTGGCAGACGATGCAGACCTTAGGCCGTTCTTTCTGACTTGCTTTTTTTTTCCTCTGAGCGACAACGCTGCTTTCACAGTCAGATCTAGCTCGCTCCGGTTTCCACAGCCAGAGGATTACATCCAGGGCTCCACAGGTACTTGTAGGACCTGCTTCCTGCCGGCCCCATGCTCTGAGGCTTTAAGCAAAGGCAGTGATGGGAACAGGCACCCCTGGGTCTCCTAGGAGATCGGGTCGCGGGCATCCCTGGCCTCTCGCTCAGCAGGAAGCTGACTGTCTGCCTCTAGGAAGCAGACTGGCTGACGATTTGCTGACGGCTCACACGGCCAGATCTGCCGCGTGGGAAAAGCCGTGACACAAGAGACCAGGGCTGGAGTGGCGGTGATGAGACAGAAGTGGGGGAAGGCCTCAGTCCTACCGGCACCTCCAGCCTCAGTGTCTCCGAAGTGCCCCGGTAGCACAGCCTACGCTGTCTCCCTCCAGGGCTAGTTTTATCTTCTTCAGTCCTAGCTGGGGTGAGATGATAGGAAATGATCTGAGAAGCAGGAAATAAATGTATCCTTTTGCCTTACAAATGTTTTTAAGTACCAAGCAAGTATTTTTACGTATCTTAAAATACTCTATTCAGGCCATGAAGTGAGGAGTCCCTGTACATTCTCGCCACTTTCCTCTGATGTTCTCCCCAAGGGTGGCCAACCCCTAGGAAGCAAGCATTCATTGAGCACCCACAATAGGCTGCCCGTGCTCACGTATGTGAGAGTGCCCACTCCAGGTCACGTGTGTCGT